TTTCTCTCATAGACGCTGTTTCTTTCGACATTTTTATTCTAGATAAAATATGCTTTCAATAGAAAAAGAAAATTCAAGAGTTGCTACAACTAAACCATTAGATGAACTTTTTACTAACGTAGGTCAAAAGTTTGAGACAGAGACCGTAAAGCATGAAGGCTATCGTTTTGACTACCCATTAAGATGGTTAAGAGACCCATCTGTCACAAAAGCTATTGGCTTTCGTAGAATGAAGTTCATTTCAGAAGCCATACATGGTTTCCCATTTACGGTCGGTTTTGAAGTTCGATACTATAACAAAGAAAAACGTATGTATGAGAAATTTGAACAGGGAAAACTTTTACAAGTGAATTTGCTTGTAAACTTAGAAACAACTCTTCAAGCTTTTCAAGAAAAAATAAACGATATCTATATCGAATATGCAAAACAGTACAACATTGACGAAGGAGAGTACCATCTCGATATTATATATGACAGGAAAAATGCAACTGTTAAAATCAATAAAATAGAAGACCTTGGAGAAAACGTTTATATTTCTACAAAATATAACAACTTGGCATGGCATAGATTTATGAGGATGTTAAATCAGCCTGCATGGTATCCAGTACACCCGGACTATTATGAAGTCGAAAACCCTAATGGAACATATGAAAATGTTTTCGACTCAGATGCTATTATTGTTCATGCTTCATTTTCTGGCGCACAAAACTCTTTTTTATGCTTGGCAAATGACTTTTACGAAAAACCTACAAAGCTATATGAACCACCGAGTGGAAGTATTTCGGATTTTCAAGTATGGTTTACAACAGATGGAAGAAAGAGAATAGTTCCATTATACCACGCGTTTTACTTAGAACTTAGTTTCATATACAACTACTATCGAACGGTAAAAATATAATTTTTTAATACGGTTGAGGTGTTGGATTTGGTTGCCAACTAGACTGTGGTGCAGGTTCAGGCTGTTGTATAACAGGAGCTTGTTCTTCTGGTTCAGGGTCTTTAGGTATAATACCAACAAACTGACCTACCCTTTTACCAATATTTTTGACTCCGTTCCAAATTCCTCTTCCGACAGATTTTATTCCATTCCATATACCTCTTCCAACATTTCGAAGAAGTTTCCTATTCTTCCAAAGAAACCCATTTTACTATATGTAAAAATCTAATGTCCGCCTAGTCTCTTACGTTTCCTGTTGAGTTCCATTGCATTCTTTAACTGGAGCTCATACATTCTATTTCTCCTCTGGTAGAAAACATACTCTGGGTCAACTCCTGTGTTCGCGTCATCTGCATAGAGTTGTTTATATCCCACTTCAGGGTTTGTATAAAACTCTTTCCATCTCATATTTGCATACCATGGTGGCAAACCTAACGCAGCGTCATTTGACATGGCAGTTTGCATTTGTACATCTGTTGGCACTTGACCATAGTTTGCCATTGCAGTTTGTATTCTAACTTCATTTGGAATATTCTCTGGGTTTGGTTGTCCAGGTTGCTGTGCATTCGCTAAGTTCTGTGCGTCCATTTAATATTAGATAAAAATATCTCTTACGAGTACATATACTGAACATTTGCAGGCATTGGTTCATCTTCATATTCTCTATATCTTTCTGCCACGTCAAATAAGTAAATGACACAATGGAAAAAACCTAAAACAAGTAGTCCTATTTCAAACCACATTTACTTACTAGTAAAATTTCTTTGTTATGACACTTTTTCCGGTTTATAGGACCTCTCTCATATTCTATCTTATCGTATCTAAACTCATAGTCATGTATGTCCTCTAACCATCTCATGACACTTTCCAAACCACTTTTATCGGATGTAAAGTAAAAGCATGGATGGTTATGTAAAACGTCTAAAGTTTCTAAAGAGTCTCTCAAAGTCCAGTCTACTTGGTATTGAAAATCCCATGTGTTAAAGAACGGCGGGTCCACTATAAAGAAAACATTTTCCTTGTCTTTATATTTTTCATACAACTCTGTCCAATGACATCTCACAAACTCTATACCCTCAATATATTTTTCTATGTCCTCTTTGAAAACATTTGTATAGTTAAGATATAAAACTTTTGACATAAGTGTTTCAATGTCATGAACTCTTATAGCACCACTATATAATAGTCTAGCAGATATACTATCCCAGTCAATATACTCTGCCTTTTTCAAAACCTCTCTGACAGTATTTTTCTTATCTAATGGTATACGTTCCATCTTACCTATAGGTATCTTTTCTTTCAACTCACTCAATATTTTGTTTGTGTCTGGTATATGTTTGAGACGGTTCATATAGTTGTCGAAGTCATTGCATATAATCTTTGAGTCAGGGAATATTGTATGGCACAAATGAGATATATAGAAACTTCCACCGAACAAGTCTACAAATGTTAGACCATTCGGTAGTTTCTTAAGTTCTCTCAATAGAATATCTTTACATCTACTCTTATTTCCAAAGAAGGGTAACGGTGGTTTTGTAAAATTCATTTTATATATAATAAAAATGTTTTTTCCCTGAAAAGTGACAGAAAAGCGGTTTTTGACAGATGTTTTATTGTGACTTCTTCGTAAAGACTTTGTTGAGATTTCTTCGTAAATGAGTGTAAATGACCCAAAAATATATTTTAGGGTAGAAGGTTAGATATAACCTCTTTTCTAACCTCTTTTCTACCCTCTTGAATTTTCATGAATTTCTTCGTAAAGACTTTGTTAAGACTTCTTCATCTAATTTCTCATGAACTTTCTTGTCTATGTTTTGTTGAGATTTCTTCGTAAAGACTTTGTTGAGATTTCTTCGTAAATGACCCTAGTAGTATATTTTTGGTGTAAATTTCATGAAAATTCAAGAGGTGAAAAATTAGGTGAAAAAAACAGGTTATATCTCACCTCTTCACCTAAAATATATTTTTGGTGTAAATTTCATGAAAATTCAAGAGGGTAGAAAAGAGGTTAGAAAAGAGGTTATATCTAACCTTCTACCCTAAACATTATTTTTGGTGTAAATTTCATGAAAATTCAAGAGGGTAGAAAAGAGGTTAGAAAAGAGGTTATATCTAACCTTCTACCCTAAACATTATTTTTGGTGTAAATTTCATGAAGAAATCTCAACAAAGTCTTTACGAAGAAGTCTTGACAAAGTCTTTACGAAGAAGTCTTGACAAAACATTTACGAAGAAATCTTGACAAATTCAAGAGGGTAGAAAAGAGGTTAGAAAAGAGGTTATATCTAACCTTCTACCCTAAACATTATTTTTGTCTGATTTTACGAAGAAGTCTTGACAAAACATTTACGAAGAAGTCTTGACAAAACATGAAAACATATATAATTTGTGAAAAGTGAAACATTATATAATGTTTTCGACCAAGAAGACTAACAATTTTCCGAATAAAAACTTCATTTATACTAAACATCTTCGGGGCTAGAAGGCACGAAGTGCCTGGAAGCCCCACTACCTTTTTTTTTTTTTTTTTTTTTTTTTTTTTTATTTTAATCTAATTTCGATTTTTTATAAAATCGCGTACTTCTAATAAAACGCGATTTCAAAAACAATCGCGATTTTTTTCTGTTCGCAATTTTTCAGAAGTTCGCGATTTTATAAAAAATCGAAATTTTTCTTTGCGATCGAGATTTAAAAATTCGGTTGCGATTTTGCCTAAATATGTTAGAAAAAAAGTTTGCTGACATTGACAAGAAATTTGAGAATGTTTTAAACAAGAACAAGAGGAAGTTAGAAAATGCTCAGATAAAGCCTATACATGAAAAATTCTTATTTGCTCAGAATGGTATAACAGGTCTAATTGCACCACCTGGGTCGGGTAAGACTTTCACTTATCTTAAAATGGCTGCACAACAACAAGAACTAGATGAGAAGAACCCATTCTATGAGTTAGTTGTTATTTGTAGTACTTCTGGTCAATTTGACCAAACCGTCAATTCGTTCAAAGATATTATAAAGAAGTCTAAGTTAGTATGTATAAAGGATACTGAGTTGTTAGATTGGATAAAGAAGTACCAAAGAAGAGTTTTGAAGTATAATGCTATAAATGAGTATATAAATTCTAAGTTTAAAGACCCAAATGAGGAAATGCAGAGAATATTAGAGAAGAAACACTTCAGAAACAAACAGAAAGAGATAGAATACATTTCGAAGAAATTGCAATCTTACGATTGGAAGACATACCCTCATAGGCGTCTTCTTATCTTAGATGATTTCGCCTCTCATCCTTTGTTAAAGAACAGAGAACAAGATATGTGTCGAATTCTTAAGAAGCTCAGACACTTTAACATCTCAGTTGTCATTTGTGTACAGACAGCAAAGAGTTTAAGTAAGGATGTAAAGAGAATACTTACTGACATTATACTTTTCCCCGGATTGTCCGAAGACGATTTCATGGAACTTATGAAAGAGTCCATGGCAGGTAAGTTTGACAGATATGAACTATGGGAGAAGTACAAAGTCATACAAGACCCTCATACTTCTTTCAGAATTCATATCTACGCAAACAAAGTTCAAATTGTAAAAAGTCAAGCTTGAAAAATGTAAGTGTTTAGTCTTAGTAAGTAAGTCTGTTGTGGTGCTGGGGCTGTCGGTTCTTCTGGCTTTGGAAGGCATTCAGGAAGAGGAACGTCAGTCATCCGTTTGTGTCCTGTCGGAAGGAAGAACTTTTCCTGTTGGAAGGAAGAACTTTTCCTGTTGGAAGGAAAATTTTTTTCCTGTCGGATGGAAAAATTTTTCCTGTCGGATGGAAAATTTTTTTCTGAAGTTCGACCAAAAAGTTCTCAATTTTCGAAAATTTGAATGGTTTACGGACGGACAACTAGAAAATTTTTTCCTGTCGTCGGGAAAATTTTTTCCAGTTGGAAGAAAAAACTTTTTCTGTCGGAATGAAAATTTTTTTCTGTCGGATGGAAGGACTCGGAATGCCAGAAGGATTTGACGAGGCAATTTACTTTATAGAGCTACCTGAGCCATCTGAAGTCAAGCGTAAAAATAAAGAGTGCATCTACCCTACTTGTTTGAAGTTGTCAAAATACTCTGTTATTTTTTCCTTTAACAATGGCAAATCTTCTTTGAAGGTAAGTATTGTACAACCTTTAATATCATAGTGTGTTTGAGGTAACGTATCTTGAACTATTTGTTTCACATCTTCATTCGGTGTCATTGAAATCGGTAAGTTTTCGCGATAGAACCAATTTCTGTCAGATTTGTAAATCTTAGCAAGGTCGTAAAAGCTTTTGTTGTTTCTTCTGACTAAATGCAACATAACCATATCTCTGTCTTCTTCATTTTCCATCTCTTCAGTATAAATCATATACTTATAGTTCTTTTCCTTTCCTTTTGGTACCGAACGTGGTATTCTTTTCTGAATGCTTTTGTCTTTTGCTTCAAGCTTGTTCTCTAGCTCTTCACGTTCTTGTCTATGAATTTCATCTAACATCATGAAAATATAACAAGCGTAACGAGGTGAAGCCCACATTGCAACAGCATTTACTAAAAGTCTATGAACATAATATCCTCTCAAACCGTTTGGCAATTTTTCACGATTTTCATAGAGTTTTGGCGACTGGGGTTTTTTACCTACTCGCTGTTCTTCACTGTTTTCATAGAGTTTTGGCGACTGGGGTTTTTTACCTACTCGCTGTTCTTCACTGTTTTCAGAAAAAAGTATGTCTCGCTGTGCTTCGCTTAAGAGTTCAATGGTGCTTTGGTTCCTAAACCAGTCTTTAGGAAGCTTAGTATCTGGAGCAAAACATGCTGTCAAAATACTTTGCATTTGGTACATATCGTCTTTGACCGAACGAATGAGACGGAGTTGTTTGTTAAACTGAACCCACTCATATTCTTCATTTATAGCTTCATGGACTATAACTGTTGTTGTGTTCTCGGTTGTTGACATATCTGTCTTTACATACAAAATAAAAAAATAAATAAAAATAAAACTAACTTTATTTTTTCTATCTTAAGGAAATTCATGATTTTCATAGAGTTTTGGCGAGTAGGGAAAAAGTCGGTCTAGAGAAATTTCACTGTTTTCATAGAGTTTTGGCGACTGGGGTTTCTTCCCTACTCGCTGTGCTTCACTGTTTTCGTACGGAATCTCTTCTCTCGGTTTTACATGGTAAGCAATCTTATGCCATTTTACTCAGATTTTTGTGCTGAATTCAGCAAAAATATATTTTAGGGTAGAAGGTTAGATCTCACCTGTTTTTTCACCTAATTTTTCACCTCTTTTTTTCACAACCGTTTTACATGGTAAACGTTATTTTTACATGTATTTTTCAGCAACTTCGTCAAATAATTTTATAGCTTTATCTATCTCATCTACTTCAAACGTTTCTTTACCTTTTATGGGAGCACCATACATTTTCTCAAACTTTTCAAGTAGTTCTGTTTCTGCAGCTCTCATATCATTAACAAACACAACCTTAACTCTATTGACTGTACTGTCATATCTTTGAGTTATATTATATGTTCTTCCTATCTTATATCTCTTTGTATTGAAGTCCTTCGGTTTCTGAACGATGTAAAGTAAGCCTTCACTGCAACGTTCTGAGTCGAACGAACCATATGTTATGAAGTTATATCCAACAACTGGGTCTAACCATAACAAAACTATTGGTATAAGACTTTTGTCTATAAGATATGCTGTAGTTCCATAGAATCTTACCGATATCATAAGCTCAGGATTTCTTGTCAAAATTTTCTGAGTAGAAGCAATTCCAACCCAATGGGATGTTTTCTTTCCAGATGGAGATATAATGTCTGACAAAGAATATTTGTTGTATTTCTTTGAGTATCTTACGTTTAAATCACCTATTCTAACCAATTTAGTGTTATTGTCTATCTTTTTAACTGTTTCAAACTCAGTGTTTGTCATATATGTTCTTACATACAAAATAAAAAAATAAATAAAAATAAAACTAACTTTATTTTTTCTGTCTTAAGGAAATTCACGATTTTCATGAGTTTTATGCAAGACCAGGTTTTTTTCCCTACTCGCTGTTCTTCACGATTTTCATGTGTTTTAGGCAAGGCCGGTAAAATCCGGTCTAGAGAAATTTCACGATTTTCATACGTACTCGCTGTTCTTCACTGTTTCCGAGGGTAGCAATCTTATGCCATTTTACTCAGATTTTTGGTCATTTTTCAGTAAAAATATATTTTAGGGTAGAAGGTTAGATCTAACCTGTTTTCTACCCTCATGAATTTTCATGATTTCTTCGTAAATGTTTTGTCAAGACTTCTTCGTAAATGTTTTGTCAAGACTTCTTCGTAAATGTTTTGTCAAGACTTCTTCATCGTACATGTTTTGTCATGATTTCATCGTACATGTTTTGTCAAGACTTCTTCGTAATGAGCTTAAATCAGACAAAAATAAAGTTTAGGGTAGATGGTTAGATCTAACCTCATTTCTACCCTCTTTTCTACCCCAGTTATTTTATAAGCGTTTCACATGGTAAACGTTATTTTTAAAATTTTGTGAAAACTCAACGGTTTGACACATGCCCTAAAAATTATTTTACTCAGAATTTTGTTGCTGAATTCAGTAAAAATAAAGTTTAGGTGAAGAGGTGAGATCTCACCCGTTTTCTCACCTGTTTTCTCACCTGTTTTTTTATAAGCGTTTTACATGAATTGTACGATGTATATTTGAAATCCTAAACAGTTTTGTAGCTTCTATTTCTTCGCTGAGGATATCGAATGTTTTAACTATGCCGAAAGTCTCTTTATATTTCTTCTTGACGTCAGATAGAAGGAAATCGTCAGCAGTTGGATAGTTTTTGTTCAGAAATTCTAACATGTCCATTTTATTTTCTACCGGCTTCTCTGCTTCTTTCTTTAAGTCTGCATAGTCGTTTCTCATTCTTTCTATCTCTTTGACGGAGTAGTTATATTTCCTAATTGCTGCCTTACATTTAGAACATTGCGGGTTCATTTTTGCGTTATACATTGAAATTTGACCTGCTAGAACAACTAAGGCGTCAATTGCTCTCTTCATCTCAAACATAGCGGGTCTTATTTGTTCATTCCATACCTTACCTCTTCTATCTTTATCTCTTATCTGCCATACACATTCAGCAACTAACGAAACAAAGTTGTCGTAGGTCTTAAACTCCCCAGATTTATATATGTCAGAGATGTTCTTATATAACATGTCGCAATCTTTGTCCATAACCTTATGGTTGCAATGAAATCCTAGAAACTCATAGTTTACCTTTCGTATGAACTTCTTTATTTCTACTGAGTCAGTTGGTTTCACTTCTATTTCATCGAATTCAGGAATAGTGAGTTTTTGTTGTTGGATTTCAGGTAGTTTAGGCAAATGGTCAATAATGTCCTGCATTTCATAAAGATACTGTTCATTTGTTTCATCTTTCGCACTACAGTCTAAATTACTTGTTAAAAGTTCTTGCTTTATCTTCTGGATTTTTGTTTCGAAAGTATATGAAGAAGGAATGAAGCTTTTCATCTCTACTAACATAGATGTTGGATTCATGACTAACGAGTTTGGTGCTGTTGTTGCTAACATGTTCTTACAATAAAAATAAAAAATATTTTTTAAATAAAACTAACTTTATTTTTTATTTCGGGAAAATTCATGAAAATTCATGAGGGTAGAAAAGAGGTTAGAAAAGAGGTTAGATCTAACCTTCTACCCTAAATTATATTTTTGCTGAATTCATGAGTTTTGGTTGAAAGAATACGGTGGAGCCAAAAGTGGCTCGACCTCAAAACAAGCATTTTCTGTATAAAATTCATGAAAATTCAAGAGGTGAAAAAAGAGGTGAAAAAACAGGTGAGATCTCACCTCTTCACCTAAATTATATTTTTCAATACTTTTTCAGCACTTTTCCGTAGTTATATATGAAAGACAATTCGAGATAAAAGTCATAGTACAATGGAATAATATGTTGCACACCATTTGTTGTGAACCAAACTTGAAAGTCAGAGAAACTGTTACTAGGTGGTTCGTAGAATTTAGAAGCAAAGTCATAAAAGTCCTTACCAATACATAGAAAACTATTGTTGCTTGAACTGAAACTTGCATGACACATAACATTTTGAGGGTCAAACACGTTTCTATAAACTGTCAAATCTGCTGGTGGAAGTATAAATTGAAATGGACCATCTGGTGGTAATGGTTCGTTCTGGTTTAGTAACCGAAGAAATTGTGCCCAAGAACGTTTGTCTACTTCCCAAAATAAAAACTCTGTATCTCTTGGAGGGTTAATTTCAATCTTTTGAAATGAAACGGTGGAGTTCATCTTGTCATATTCTAGTTTCAGATAGTATGTTCCATTTAGTAAAGAGTCGTATTTTTCTTGAAATTCCCAATAATATTTGTTCATTTGAGTTTGAAAGTCATTTAGAGTTTTCTCAAGACTTTCGTCTGAACGAACTGTAAAGATTCTCATTTCATCAAATTTGTCTATAAGACCATCAGAACCTTTATACTGCCCATGAAAATATACTGCGAACATAAATGCGTTAGTTCTATTTGAAAACAAAACTCTTCTAAATCCTATTGCCTTTGCATCTGAAGGACTTTGAAGCCAACGAATTGGATAGTCAAACCTGTATATTCGGGATGAAATTTCTTCATCTGATATTGTCCTACCAGCATTTGTAAAGATATAGTCTAACGGTTTTGTATCTGCTACTTTTGTTCTTTGTTTTTCAACCTGAAGCATTTAATATATGTAAAAATATATTGTTTTAAAATGGTATGCCATATAGCTTCTTGAATTTGTTAAGATGTATTTGAACGTATTTTCCATCTGTATCTCTAGTGTTTACATAAGCATAGCCTGCCTTAGTAAAATATACTTGTAATTTCCTATAGTTTACGCCGGTATAAAAGTAGAAAGAGTCTTGTTCTTCGCTATAGTAGTAAAACTCAAACGTATGCTTGCCATAGTCTGTAATTTCAATTGTTTCATCTTCTAGTTCGTCGACAAATTCGAATACAATATCTCCAAATTTGCCTTTGTTCTTATTGTTTTCAGAACAAGTGACCCAACGTAAGTTTTCAAGTCTATTGTCGTTTCTTATACGGTTTATATGGTCTACAAAAGGTAAATTGTTAGGATTCAGTATAAAATGAGTTGCAATGACAACATGTTTAAAATAGCGTTTCCCACTCATCTTCATAATAGCATATCCGTCATTTCGCTCCCATTCGCTTAAAACTCTTTTTGTCTTTTTGTTTCTGACTTCAAATGACTCACAACAGTGAATTTCATATTTCTCATCTAACAAACAAGTTTCCCAACGGTCTTCTCCAAACAAACTCAGCGTACATTTCAAATAAAATAAAAAATGTCACTTTTTAAAAAATAAATTTTTACTTCATGCAATGCTCACTAACATCGAAAGGCATGTCCATAAGACGTTCTTCTTCTAACCTCTCTAGTCTGTTTGGATAATTTGCACGTG